ACCTCCCGCCCGCTCTGGGAAGGGGCTTTGCCGGCGAACCCCGGCTCTCGGCTTCCCGTCCTGCGGGGCACTGTTTTGTGCCTGGCTGGCCACGTCCTCGTCCTCGTCCTCTGTCCCTGGGCCCCGCACTCACCGGGCCCTCGGGTTAGAGGGCCACTTGTTGATCTCCTGACGGTCAGAGGGCGCCGGGTAGTGCCATTGTCAAGCTCCCTGCCACCTTCCCCTCGCGAGCCTGCTCGTGTCTGCCAGCCTCTCCCGAGCGGGCGGCGCATCTGCCAGGAAAGTCGTGTTCGCTGACTTTGATGGTGTAGAAACAAGTGGGGAAAGAAAGCACGAAAAGAGTATGTGATTTAAAAAAAAAAGAAAGAAAGAAAAAGAAACAAGAAAGAGCTGTGTCGTTTTAAAGAAAAGCCGAATGTTTCGAGCTCCCATTTTTAGCGGCATCCTTCAGTCGGCAACGGAGAAGGAGGTTTTAAAGGCTTTACCAGGGAATTGTTTTTACCTTGTCGGGTTGCTGCTGGCCCCAGTGCTCAATCCTGATTTTCATTTAGCGTGCCACAAGTGAAAACTCAGTTACCTACACCTGCCCTGGTGAAGAGGCCAGTAAAGCAGTTTGCAGTTTCGAAAGCTGCCTGTGCATCGAGGCAAAAGCCCCGTGGGTCTCCTGGTAAAACTCGAGGGCCTTCTGTCTCAATTCCGACGTCTCGAAGCTCACAGGATAGATAGTGTCTTTGAGAACTGAGTTTCATGGGCTCCCTGGCATGGACCATACAGTCAACGTTAATAAATCGTTAATAAGGTTGCTGGGAGGTAGAAAACTGTCATCGCTGATAAAGTAGTCTTTGCCGTAGGATGAGACTTGACATAAGACAGATACCTGTTTGACCTCATTCGGCACGTTTGGCGAACTAGACACCGAGCCGTGGCCATCACTGAAGAGTGTGCGTGGTGCTGGATAGTGTGCAAGTGAGGGTCCAGATGAGGGGTGCGGAACCCTTCTTCTGCCGGGACCATTTGGATATTTATAACGTCGCTGGCGGACCATACAGAACTATCAGCTTAGCAATGAGCCTGCTGTATTTGGCCAAACATTTAATTAGCTCACCTCTAGTGCGGAGGCAGGGCCGGACCGAATGATTTCCCACCCCTGGTCCAAATAGATAACCTGTATATTGCATTTGTGTGTAGAGAGGATGAGTTTGCTTAGGCATCATCTGAGCTTTGCAGTGATTCGGGGGTCTTCAGTAGGATCCCTTTGGAAGTCACAACGGAGAGAACCGTGCAGTGACGAAGATGAACTGAGTGTGTCTGACTGGATGGTACTCGTAGACAACTTGGAAGTCAGTTCATCGTCACTCTCGATAGGATGTTTGCTTCCATTCATCCAGTGATGTGTCAAAGGATTCTTATTGGTGGCATTTTATATACATCGCACCAGTGTAGATAATCAGTACTTTGACATTAACTCGGATTTTTCCATAACGTGGGTATGCCAGGGATGTTGGAATTACAGGTGTAGCCAAGGGATAGTCATTGGAAAAGCTTGCGAGGCCATAACATCCTAGATCCTCTATGAACTCTTAAATGTAGCTGTTGCTGATGGTGTGATTTATGAATTAGAGTTTAGGCCCGAGCTTTGCCTGTTGCTGGCTGATGGCCACATCCGGTAAGGGGAATTGGGGGTTGGGGAGCATCCACAAGCAGGAACGGCATTGCTGCCCAGTACCGTCCAACTAATCCAGTAAAATGTATTGGTGTATAAAAGGTACAGGCATTATAGTAGAGACTGTAGAGGGGTATTAATTTTTATTAGCCTCTGGTCGCTGTGGAGTGGTACAAGCAAGTTTTGTCAAAGTTTATAGGAATTGGCACAGATCACTTCCAGCTGGAGTGATAATATGAGATAGGTCTTTTAATCTACGATTAAAAATTATTTATAGACATTTGGCACTGAAGGGAGGTTGAACTATAATAACTACCAAAATCTTAAGGACTTTATGCCTGCTACACACAAACACGGCAAAATTACAAGTAGAAACCAAGGCTCTTGGCCCTACATTTTGCATAGCATTCCTATGGGAATTAATTATGTATTAAAGTTTTATCATCCAAAAGGAAACTATTTTCCCCCAGGATTTCTAGAGCCTTTTTTATTAAAGAAAATTTTTAATTCTGTAGCCAGAAAAATTTAGTTTGTACTTAGTTGCTTTAGTTATAGAACTTTTGAAGCCTGATAATAATACTTCGTCATTCTCTAAAACTTTTCTTCTACAGCCAAGTTTGCACTTTTATGTACTTAACTGTCTTATAAATGTATGCCCTCACTCACACAAATAATTAATTAGAATGTATTAATGAACTAATGTAAATTTGTTCTATCAAGGGAGAAATATTGAATAAATGGTTTATCATTATCGTTATCAAATCATGAAGAATAACATTACTTTAATGTGATAATCCATTGGTGGCACTTGTCCCAAGGTTTGCAAATGAAGAATGTCAGGTTGGTGTGGCTCCGTTGGTTGGAGCATCATCCTGTACACTGAAAAGTCTCAGGTTTGATTCCCAGTCAGGGCACATACCCAGGTTGTGGGTTCAATTTTCAGTTGTGGACCCATGTGGGAGGCAACTGTTAGATGTTTCTCTCTCTCCCTCTCCCTTCTCTCTAAAATTAAAAAAAAGAAGAAGAAGATAACCAAATAGCTTTAATTTCTAGATTTCATAACCTGAGCCTTACTATGGTTAGTAAATTGCTGTCAGGTTGTTCTGTTCTCCCTCCCCTCTCCCACCCCCAAATCCACAATTGAAGTAGACACGTAAGCAGTGAGATTCTGCTTTTGCTGCATTATAAAGGAATGCCTTTTTTCCCCTG